AGTTCCTTACATGTGATATCCAAAAAACAAACACATTACAAATTGGCATTACAAAATCCTGACCATCAGCAGGAACTCAGGATTCCCAGTGAGTTTTTCTGCCCAGAAATCTTAAATCCAAAAACTCTTAAAAGCAAACAAGTGGGAGTTAAGTGTTGGTAGCACAGACATTACTCATGACTTGGTTTGAAACACACACACACACACATCGCTGTGTCGGCAAAGGGGACAAGGGGGACTTGGGGGAAGGGCGGGAGGAGCAGCCGCACTCAGGGGGAGCAAAGAGGAATCAGNCCTTTTTTCTACCTTCTTACCATGTTCTCAGAACAGCCCCTAAATGCCAATCATTTCCATAATGATTCCACGTTTTTCCAGCCTGTGACTCTCAGCCTTGCCAGGAGAGATGGTGGCTCCCAACCACTGGCTCTCAGCAGGGACCACTGTGTGCAAAACAGTGACATGCTAAGGGCAGAGCAAGAATTTACACAATAAAGCTTAATTTAAAATCTTCCCTTCTCAAAGTACAAATATTATAAGCAAACACTTGGTTTAAACACTAACATCAATTTTAGGGGAAGAAAAAAGATCTCTTGATATTTTTGAAAGGGGAAACGTTGTTTCTTAGTCAATTTTGTTTAAACTGTAGTTTACATTGGCTGTTTGTTGGAGATTTAGGGTTGGGAGACAATTTGGCAATTAAAGCCTGAGACATTTTCTAGCTACCTGAAGTTCACATTCCATGAATTAGACAAAAATCTTGCACTTAAAGGAAAAGTTGCTGAGAGCACCTGAGGGCTGCAAGTTATGATCGCCCTCAGCCTCCCTCAAACCCTCCCACACCAAATGGAGACATAATACTGAAACACTTTCATAAAAGCTTTTCTCTTACTGAAAAATAGTTATCATATAGATCACACAAAACCATCAGAACTATTACAGACCAGAAAAATTCCAACAAACTTTTGAAGCTTCTGGATATTTACAATTGCTTCCTTTCTCAGTTGTTGCCCATCTACAATTGACAGCTGTACAAACAAAGTACATTTAAAAAACGCAGCACACACCCGGTCACGGTGCCACAGTCCCGGCTCCAGCAGAAGGCAGAGGCGATGGATGAGGAACGCTGGTGCGGGATATCATTGGTGCTTAGCACCTTCACCCCTTGGGTCTATCCAAAGCATTTGCATCAGTTTTCCAATCACGTTTCAGTGACAGATACAAACAAAATCACAAAATCTACAAACTCAGTGGGATTTCAGAACAGTCCTCGTCCGGGGCTCCTGCCCTCCCCTCATGCGCACACTGCGTATCTTTAAAGCTTGCTGATGATTCAGGCAGAAATCATTGAGTCCATTCACATTTAATGACTTCTTCAAGGGCTCTTTTATCACTTTTCGAGCTATAAACTCAATTATGTATATTTTTTCTCCACACTTGACGAGGAAATTTCCGCNGTGTCACTGAGGCTGTGACAGCACCAGCAACCACTCACAGGCCTGCACAGCTCTTCTCTGGGCCCTCAGCACAGCAAGGCACTCTCATGGCAAATACCAACATTTCACCCACTCCCACCAGTCTGCCAGGTGTCCTACAAAACCAGTGAGCTCTGTTTCCCTCTCCAAATTCAATTTCAGGAAGTTGAACATCATGTGCCACATCAGTGGGGTCCCATTTCTTAATTTATAAAACAGAATAAAAATGATGGGTAGCCAGCATGAGCCTTGGAGGTACTCCTGAGGTTTTCCTGCCATGCTAAAGGTAGCTGCAATTGATATTCATTATTTCCTTTAACCTGAGAAATAATTAGCTATCACATGTCCTTCCATGGACACATCCAGAATGGAGTCATAATGTAGTCCATAAATAAACACAGCAATTTTTCACCAGCATGATAGTTTGACATTCCACAAATTAAGAAAAAAACCCAAACAACCTAAGAAGGTTGTGTGATTATTTGAAAACTAGAATTAATTATATGTGTAAATAGATTAGCAACAGCAACAGCTCTGGACAAGCAATTAGACAGCTAATTACAGGGAAAATGCAACTGAAGGCTCCAACAACAACTGCCCATCTTCTCCCCAGCCCAGGTGATTGAGAACTCTCAGGTTTGTTTGTTTGTTTAGCTTTAAAAAAAAATCTGTTCATGTAACTCAGACACAGCCACAAAGTGCAACACACAGAAGTGAAAGAGAAGCTCAGCTCTCCCACAAACAGTTCCCTTCTCCTTTGTCCCACCACTGCTGTCAGCCCAAGGAACAGCTCTTGTACCACCAAAACAGAAAAACTTACACGTGAGCTCTGCTCCCTTTCTCCCATCATAAAACCACTTTCCTGTTGGAAAAGAAATGCTATGATCCTTTACATGGGAACATGCCATTTTTTTCCTGGGTTACTGCAGTTCCTTTAAGATCTGCTGGTTTCCCTCACTAAATACAATATTTGAGAAGGGATGTTTTTCAGTAATTTATTCCCTCAAGAGAAATTTGCAGCAACTAAACTGATTAGGCATGAGTCTAAGTAAACATGAAAATGCTGATACGCTTCCAAGTGCCTGCACCCACTTAATTAGGTTTGGTTTATGTTTCTCTCTCAGCCTGTGTGCAGTCTCCCATGCGCAGGAGCCCTTCATTTCCTTCCCACGTTCAAGGCCACCTCCCCCTCACAGCTCCTGTCCCAGTCAGGAGGGGACAGTGCCCCAGGCTGTGCCCCAGCAAAGGCAAAAGGGATTATTTGGCTGAGAGCTGCCCAGTCACGGCTCAGGAACCGCTCCCAGCCCAGCCCTGCCTGAACCATTCCAGCAGCTCCAACCCTGCTCATGCGGGTTTATCCAGCACAGCCCAGCTCGGCACAGCCGGCCCGCGGAGAGGCTCCAAACGCGGCTCCACTGCCGGCTCTGAGGGGCGGGGATCGCAGGGAAGGGCTGGGAACGGTCGGGATGAGGTGCGGAGCAGCAGGGAACCTTTAACTCAGGGACGGAACCCGAAATGGGCACCTGGCAGCGGCGGGACCGCGCTCTGCCAGCCGCACATCCCAGAGAGGCACAGGGAGCATCCATGGGCTGTGGGNGGGGCCAGGAGGTTCGCTGGGGCTGGGGGAATGGGTGTTGGGACCTCGAGGGGGCGGCAGGGGCAAGCAGGACTGCGGGTACCAGAACCGTGGGGTCTGACGGGGGGTGGGGAGGGGGTGTCCCTTTGGAGTCTCGCAGCAGCAAGGGGTGGACTTGCAGCAGGGGAGGAGCTCGGCGGGGCGGCTGCTGTGGGCATCCCCTGTGCAGCAAAGAGCTCCAGCAGCACCCTGCAAGCTGGGACCAGCGCCATGGCAGCCAAGTGCCAGCAGGAGATACTATTAAAGTGCTTTATCCAAACTGCGCCCAAAAAGTGTCTGGCACAAACGGCTGAAGAGTCAGCATTGGGGAATTCATTAAAGTCCAGTCTAAGAGGTTTTTAAACTCCTATTTCAGTAACAGTCTTGGCATGGAACTGAAGACAGGCTTTAGTTGCCTTAGAGATCTCTGTCGTGGGCAGAGTGACTGTGTCCCATTAATAGACCAGAGTGTCACCAACCTTGATGTGGAATAAGCAGTGTCCGCAATCAGGGCATTACTGCACGCCATTTTACATGTGTCGCGCTTTACGGCACCTTTTACGACAGTCGCGCTTTACGACAGTTGCCCTTTACGGCACCTTTTACGACAGTTGCGCTTTACGGCAGTTTTACGACAGTCGCACTTTACGGCAGTTTTACGACAGTCGCGCTTTACGGCGCCTTTTACGACAGTCGCGCTTTACGGCCGTATTTACGACAGTCGCGCTTTACGGCAGTTTTACGACAGTCGCGCTTTACGGCCCCTTTTACGACAGTCGCGCTTTACGGCCGCTTTTACGACAGTCGCGCTTTACGGCAGTTTTACGACAGTCGCGCTTTACGGCCCCTTTTACGACAGTCACACTTTGCGGCAGTTTTACGACAGTCGTGCTTTACGGCGCCTTTTACGACATTGGCACTTTACGGCCATATTTACGACAGTTGCGCTTTACGGCTCCTTTTACGAGAGGTTTTTCTTGCCCATTTTGGGTTTTTCCCTGTTTTTTTCTTGCCAGTCTTGGGGGATTTTTCTGGGTTCATTCTTGCCAATCTTGGGTTTTTTCCCTGAGTTTTCTGTGGGAGTTTTCTGGTTTTTTTTATTGCCCGTCTTGGGGTTTTTTTCAGTTTTTTTTTGTTTTGTTTTTTTTTTTTCTTGGTTTTTTCTGGTCCATTGTGGGTTGTTTTCTGGGATTTTTCTTGCCCATCTTGGGTTTTTTTTCTGTAATTTTCCTCCGTATTTTGTTGATTTTTCCTTTCCCTTCTTGGGTTTTTTTTTTCTGGGTTTTTTTCTTTCCCATCTTGGGGGTTTTTTTCTGGGATTTTTTTCTGTTTTTTTTTCTTGCCCATCTTGGGGATTTTTAGGGTTTTTTTTCTGGGTTTGCTCTTGCCCACCAAGAGGTTTTTTCCTGGGATTGTTCTGATTTTTTTCTTGATTTTTTTCTTGCCGATCTTGAGGTTTTTTTCCTGGGTTTTTGTGGGGGTTTTTTGTNCAGCCACAGCAGCTACCACTGCCTCAGAATCCAAGCTTTCAGCAACCAGCACTGAAATTTGCTGGGGTTCTTAAACTTCCTCCATCGAGACTCCCAAGTTTGAACTGGAAAACACGGGATTCCGAGAGGTGTCACAGAGCCACCTCTCTGCCGGCTGGGCTGAGCCCTCAGCCCATCAGGCCATCAGGCCTCAGAGCCACCCAGCCCATCAAACAGCAGAAACTGCTCTTTCTATGTCCCTGAAACAAGTTTTTTAAAAGAACTTTTAAAAAAGTTGGCATTTTATATTCCTGATCATCCTGAAGTAGAAGGCAGTATGTATAGGCCTCCCATACACCAGCATTTTCTCACTGCATTTGGACTGACACTTTCAGTTGGTTTTTTTTTTTTTTTTATTAGAAAAAAAAATCCTAATTGAAAGTCCCCCAGAGAAGCTGTCAAGTTACATCTCTGACAAAGGCAGCTGCTTTTGCAGGTCGGTTTTCAAATCCATGGCTTGAAGTATGACTGACAGAGTGACACATGGTGACAAGAAAAGAGCTCCTTTGGAAGAACTTTTAAAAATCAGTGTTTTTATAATTGAGCTGAAGTTCAGGAAATGGGAAGACAAAGATGCCTTGCTGGTTTTCCATGCATTTAGGGGCCGTGTTTCAGAAAATGAGTTTCTCAGGAAAATGTCTCCAAGGGCAGCATTTAAGGATACGTTTAAATCCCACAGAGATCCAGCAACACTGAAGGCTGAGTACAGATGTAAATGCTGCTAAAAGGGTTGATTTTCCTGACAGGCTTTCAGATCCACTGTGAAGGGAATATGCTTTTAAAAAGGGGCTCATACCCCTAAGCTGTGCCAATGTTGCTGGCAATAATAAAGTACTGGTATGCAGGCATTTCTGAACCTCAAAGTTCCAAAATTTCCTCTTAGCTACAATTTAGACATTTTTTCTTTTCTATCCGAAATTTTCTTTCCTTCCAATGCTCATTTTAACTGAGGTTGGTAGAACTGCTGCAGTTCCACCTTTGACTGTAATTAACTTCAGGTCAGGTGCTGAAAAAAAGTACAGGCTATTTCAATAAATGACTTTTAAAAGTCTTAATATCTTAAAAGTATTATGGAACAGTGCTTTAAATGTATATTCAACCACCTTTTTTATAATTATTCTAAACAGAAGGTCTGGTTTTCCTTGTTTTCAAATGAAATCACTAAGTCTGGAGAATTTTCTTACAGAGATCAAACTTGCCCTTAAAACAATGTCTTTGTATTTTGGGATTGTTTTATTGTCTTTTTTTTTTCTTTCTGCATGTCTTTAAACACTGACCTAAACGCCACTTCTACTTTCAAAACCTTTATTTCCAAAAGTTTTCTTAACTTTAATCAACATATATGTTTTCTCCAGAGCCTTTCAGAAAACTCCATAACAATCAGAACTTTATTTCAAAATTAAAAAAAAACCAAAACAGGTAGGTAGAAAAGGGCAGAGAGAGGGAGAAAATAAGCCCTGACAAAATGCAGGTTCTTTCAGCTGTTACTTTAACATGGCAAACAAATTTTCTCTTTTCCCAGTGCCAGGAAATGTTTCAGGACTGCTGGATCCTCAGGCACAGCCTGGTGCTGCTGGAGAATTGTTTTTAAATCCCAGTCTGTTGCTGGAGGGTCACAGCAGGACCACAGCCTTGCTAAATGTTTTCAATAAATGTGGCTGTTCAGCTGCAGCAGAGGTGCACCCTGCACTCTGGGATGGGGTCACAGAGGGGAAAAACCACAGGGATGGTGGCAACAGGAGGTGACATCCTTGTACCTGGTACCAGGAGTGTGTCTGAGCCCTGGGTCACTGACACTGGTGATCATCCTGGCCTTGGGGGCAAGAGGATGTGCTCCTTTGAGAGCTTTCCCAAACAGAAATAATTGGCTCTTTTCTCCAAGACACAATGCTTTGTTGCATCGACTGGAATGGTGAAAAATTCAGGTACCTGGACAAGTGTAGAAGAGAAACACCGATTAAAAGGTAGAGCTATTCCAATCCCCAAACTATTAACTATAAATATTTCTATTCATTATACAGAGGATGTATCATTCATGTGCCTGTAAATGATGAACATAACTGAAATTAGATGTAAGGATATAAAACCATGAGGGCTGTGTTTATAGATGAAGGTCCAGGCAAATGTAAGTCACTGGTGTTGTGACTGTGTTGCAGCAGAGTAAGGTGAAAAGCAGAGATCCAGGTTTCCACTCCTGTGCTGTGCTTCCTCCCAGAAGAGCACAGAGTAATCAATTTATTTATCAGAGCAAAAAATTGCTGAAATTTTACTGTTTCCTTCCTATTGATTCCTGCTCACTGACGAGCTTTATAGGGCCCTGATTTACATCACATCCAGTTCATGTTAACAGTTCATTTATGGCCTACACACAGAGCAGCTCATGACTTCACATGTGGATGGTGACAGAAGCACTGATAAAATGAGCTGTTTATGAAGCTCAGGCACTAATTATTGAAACTGGGCTGCTGAAAGGTGCCTTTTATCTGCACAGTGCTGCAGACAGATAAGTCTCATCTGTTAAGCTTCAAAACTCGAGCCAGGGGTTCCAGTCACAAAGTCTGCTTTTCCCAGACCAAAAAAAAGGGGAAAAAACCCCAAAACATGAAGGCCTGTTGCTCCTAGGAAGTAAGAAGCACCTTTGGATGCTGCAATGGGCTGCTTTGTTTAAGAATTCCTCCTTTCTGCATGACTTCTGACAAGAAACTGCTGTTGAGGCAGTTCCTTTGGTTGGAATTCTTAAGCTAATCCCAGCTCCATTTTGTCTTATCTTTGTCATGAAATAAACACCATTGGTATCTGAAACAGAGCCACAAACAGCTGTGCTAATTATACTAAAACAGCACCTTTATTTAAGCTCCTCCTTTAGCACTACTAACTAAATAGTAAATTGAGTATTTACACAACATATTAAAAAAATGCAGATTACACCTACCAAAAAACTCTGCACCTGTCTGGAAACCATTACAACCTATGAACTGTGCAATTGATAAAAAAATGCAGTTAAGGCAGCCTGGTGGTGGAAGCACCTGACCAATGTTCTCTCTCAAAATGGACAAAAGTTACATGAAACCAAAGGGATTTGCAGTGCTCCTGACAGAGCTGCAATCAGTTGTAACCCTCCAACCCAACAGCACAGAACCTGGGGACAGCACAGCCACCTGGCCACAAACCACATCTGGTACCCATGGACAGCAGCAGCCATGAGAAATGGGTCACAGGGAACCAGCACAGAGCAGCAGCACCTTTGGAAAACAAAAAAAGGCAAAATAAATCAGCCTCAGCAAACAAGGACAAGTTTGTCCTATTTTGCCTTAAATGTAAGTGTTCTGACAGTCATGAAAGTAAATCTGTGGTCTGCACAGACCATCCATGTCCAAGTTCTACTCCTCATTAACATGGATAAGATCTTAAATTTCTAATCGATATTTTTATCTCATTTACAGGAGAGGAATATTTTAATCTTGGAAGTATTGAATTGGGTGTTGAATATCACAGATTATTCTAAGAGAGGCTTTATCAGAACAGAAGTTTTAGAGTAAATTTGGCTTATTCTTATCAAAACATGCATGCTATAGAGAAATTCCTCCTCCAGTACTTCAGAAAGGCTGATAACTTTGTATCTCCATGTCTTTGGCACACCTTCTGTAAAAGGGGGTACAAATGCTTCCCAGGAGTGTTCTGCTGTCAGCTCATCAGGCACGTGAGGCACATTTACAGAAGTGGTTTCCATGATGGGATGATAACAAGGGAAATCATGGATTAGAATGCATTTAATTTCACTATTGTTCATTTTATTGAGTACCATTTAATGGATTTATTTCTCTTGGCAGTGTTATCTTAGTGCTTCACAATACAGTACAAACTCTGGATTTAATTAATAATGTAATTAATATTCCTTTTGCCTTTTCACAGGATTGTTAAGAAAAATATAAATACAAGATCTAGGAGTTGATCATGAGGTACCAGAATGAGGCCACTTCCTGAGAAAAGTGTTCCTTGTTGCTTTTGTTTCATTCTGTTGCTCACTTAATTGGTTTCATTCCCTTTTGTGCATTGTGCAAAATTACTGTACACTTAGGGTATTTGCTACAGAATAAATTAATATTGCCAGAATCCAAGTGGGAATAAATTAAGTATGCCCTCGAACAGCTAATATCAGCTATTTCCTAATTTTTGAGGCACTGACTGCTGATATGGGTTTAATTGAATCCATTTGGATAATACATATATTTCTTGTACATAGACATGCTTTTCTGATTTATCTTAATATGGGTTATACCAACTATGACTGTGTCTACAGGGAAAATGTATTACTAAAGTTGTTACTTAATAATTAATCAGATATTAATCACAGTTTTTTGTGTTTCCAGACAGCTCGGGCATTAATGTTTTTTCATTATTTACCAATAAGTGACATTTTTATATAGAAATAATTTTTTCCAGTAGATGGAAGTGTTGAAAATGTATACAGACAAAATCCCTTTATTTCTCACCATTCTACTCAGTAATTCTCTCTTCATTTTTGCACTGCATAAAATCTGTTGGTTTAATGAGCACTTCCAAGGATATATAGATATCTATATGGCTTAGAACATACAACTCTCATCAAAATCTGGGTTTTCATTTCAGAGTACAATTCACATTTGCCATTTTAAATGGTAGCTCCTGTTTTCAGGCCTCCAATTAGCTTTAAATCCCTTTAACCCCACTACCTCAGAAGTGGGAATTTCTCCCCTTCTTCTTCCCCTCATCATAACTTCTACAATTTCTTTGATTTCCCCACACCTGGCTAGCCCAGGCAGCTGCAGTGGATGCTGACTCCATTATCCTGGTGCTGTGCCTGCCTGAAAATTGGCAGAATTAGTGAAGTGGAACGGGAGGAGATCAATAAAACACCCCTCTGTGTTGTGAGCAAAGTACCTCATATGCTGTGCTTGTGTGCTGCACAAAGAGCAGCACTGTAAAAGCTGGAAATAACCTCCCAATTGTCTCAAACAGACATTAGTCACCTGGTTTAATATCATTATTTGTACCTGATAAAAGACCAGCCAGGACCCAGTGCACAGCCAAGACAGATAAAGGTGGATGCACATTATAAATATTAACTAACACATTTCAGGCTATAAACTCACTTTGGATCCCTCTCTTCCTGAAGGATTTATTCTCCAGCACAGTGACTGTGTACATCCTGTCCCATCATGGCTCTCCTTTCAGACAGCTCTTTTCTCCCTTCATGGTATCTCTTCCCAAGCTCCTCCCTGAATCTCATCCAGAGCAATGCTATGTGCCCATAATGGCAACAGTATTTCAAAATATTTTTGGAAGCCCACTCAAACAGCTAATTCATCTCATATTTTTTTTTTCCCTGAACATTTCAGCAGTTTGCAGAACTATGGGGCGAACACTGGACCACAGTGAAAACAGGTGTCATGTCTGGGGCTGACCTTTTTGGTAAATAAATCACAAGGAAACAGCCATCCTTCCAAGGCTGGTGGGATTACCCTGCTGTTCCCATGGGCCCTTGTGTACTCAGCTTTTTGCACAGTGCAAATGAAAACAAACAACAGGGATACATAGGATTTTTTTTTTACAGCAGAACTTTTCAATACATAGGATTTTCAATCTGAGTTTTCATTTTGCTTTGCCCCTTTCTGTTTACTTCTTTCTTTCTGCATTTGGAATTCTCACATTTTAGCTTGTAGCTGAATTCTCCAAAGGCTTTCCAGAGGACACCAAGAAAGTTAAAGCTAAATTCTCTTTCTCTAAATGACAGAAGGGTCTTAATGATTTCTGTTCCCAAATCTTAGCACCAGTGGAGAACAATTTTGTTCGTAAACACCAGAACCTTTTCTTCCGAAATACGTGGGATCAACCACAACTGTGTTATCTTGTTTAAATGAACCTACATTGCTGCTCAGTACAACAGCAAGTAAATTCTCCTGAATCTTGTAACTAGAGATTTTAATAGAATTCTGCATAGAAATCTTATAAAGGGGCACATTCATTCACCAGTTTCATAGGATTGTCTTCTGCCTCCCTGGATCCTCTGGTACACAAGAAGTATGAACACT